ATTACAACATGGCATTTTGAAGACCTTTTGAAACGGAACAAAACGAAATTTATCACCAACATAATAAAATTGTTTGAGGACATAAATAATTAAAATGTGTTGTTAGCCAAATGAACAAATACCTAATAGAAATTTTCTATACATTATATACAAGTTATTATAATTGTTTACCTTTAGCAGAAAACTTTTTTAGGGACGCCTATGAAACTCATTAAATTTTATTGCCAGGCGTTTTTTTGCATGTTCAACTGACTTCGGAAAGACTATTTGAAGATTATATCCTCAATTGTTCCTATAGAGCAGCAGTTCTTAACCTTTTGTTTATCGCTGACCTGCTTTTAATGTTTTTTTTTTTTGTTGTTGCGGTACCCCATTTACTTAGAATTAGATTTAAGTTAAAATTTTAATGAGTTTGAAATATTAATTCTAAATTGCACGCTAAACGTAAATTTTGGAAAAATAAACAATAAGTTACATTCTCACATAAGAGTGCATTTTCTTAATTAGTTGTTATTAGCGATTAAATGTTTCTAAAAATTTCGCGGACCCCTTGGTAGGAGATGGCGGACCCCAGGTTAAGAACCACTGGTTCTATAGTATTTGTATGCTAAATAGGGGGAAAAAGAATCGGCGTATCCGACTGTCATTTTTTTTTAATAATGAATAATAAATTTGCACAACACTATTTGTATCGTTCAGTGTATGTCGTAAAGTAAATAATATCAAAAAAACACAGGGCTCTACGAATATTCTAAATATTTAGATATTTTATTTACGTAGACGGAATAGGAGGAACGTCACAAATACAACAGTGATTACAAAGGTTAACGTACTTGTTTTTATTGACTATACATACCGGAAAAATTACGATTTTTCGGGGGTATATCTGTTCAGGCGAGCTTGATTTACGCAATTAGGCAAAGGTGCTAGTGACACAACACATGCCACTAGGTCAGATATGAGTAGTTTTTAATAAAATACGTCGTTTACTCCTCGGTTTCATCGTCTAGACTTAAAACATTACTTATAATCCTTTATCATCAAAGACTTCTGTAATTCAATTTTAACTGGAAAAGTATCAAAAAAAAATCCCTAAACTCGTTTTCCTTTCTGCTTAAATAAAAAGTGGTACATTTAAGGATATGAAGTGTGGATAAAGAATATTTTAAATATCCCAATTAGTCGATTGAATTTTTATTGTAAAGATCGTGAGTAATTGCTTATTCTTTGACATGTTTAATTGATTTTTCGTTGGCCATGACTAATTAGTAAAACAATAGGTACAACGGATTATTCGGTACGTTGCGGAACGTGCATTCACACGTATTGCTCAGACCGACATACTTCCGGAAGAGTCGAAGGGACAAGATTATTTCAAATAATATAAACACTGTTAGATCAAATATTAAAGAACTTTGACATGTGACTGTTGGGATGTAAAAAATTGCTCTTATTAATTTTGACTTAATTTATGTTTAATTTTGAATCATGTTTTGTTTTCCCAGTTCACTTTAAGCATCGTAATAAAATTCAGCATTTGTTCATTGTTTTATAACTTTAATTATCAAAATTTAAGGAAAATTGCGACATAATCTGTCACTGAACTTTATGGTATCATTTTCGGAAGTATCACGAAGTAATTACGAATCTAAAATATTATATGCGAGTATTAATCGATGTCTAGATTAGAATAACTGGAACAGTTTTGTTGACCCTACTCATACTTATCGTTCGATATTTCTTCGATCACTTATAGGGGTTTTAGGGATAATTTTTATTGGCGTTCCGTGCTCTTTGTTCGAGGCAGTTTTAATGGCACAAACAAATACTGTTTAACTCGATCGGTTTTTGTAGTATACATTGTGATTCAGTCATAATGTCATTGATTTTAAGGGAAGATAGAGAAAACTGAGTAGAATACAAATGGGCGATTAAAAAAATGTTAATATGGACATTGGCGTTGAAAAAAATATTTTCAAATCATTGTTAAACCCCTTTTCGGACCGCTACAAAGGTTTATCGAGAGTGAACCTACCGTATTATTCGGTCACTAACCTAACACTAACTGCGTTTTTAATACGTAGTGAAGGAGAATACCTAAAACATGAATTAATTAGATGTTTTTACATTTTAAATATTAACAAGTATTATTTATTAGTTAATAAAAACAAATGTTTTTAAACAATACTTTACAACAACAATAACTGTTTTCGAATGTTACCTAGGTTACTACAAATTAGTATTTTTAATATTGTTAACGTTTTCACTATGTTTTATAATTGAGTGCAAGGTCATTCATAGAAATGTCATGTTTTTAGTTACACTCTATGTAATAAAAATTTTTCATTTACAAAAACTTCCATTGACAAATTGTTTGCAGTAAATTTTTTTTCGCAGATATCAAAATTAAAATTTAAAATTTAACTAATATAGGATATGTAATGCAAAAAAATGTAAATCATATTCATTCATTGTATTAATTAAATATATATATAAAAAAGTGAAAGGAAATAATTTCGAATTCTCTTTAGGGAATTTTGTGTTAATCATTGCCATTTATGTAAGTTTGTATATCTAAGTCCCGATGACATGACGGGAGTTATTAAAAGACCGCTCTTTTAAAAGTAGTATAGAAATACATTTTTTTTATTTAATTGTGGTTTTGACTACAGTAACACAAAAATAAGCAACAAAGATAACTTAGAAAATGAGGCTACTTATCTCTTATGTTTGATAAATAACTTGATGATTGTGATTTTTCTGGTTCAAAGCTTATTTCATTTTCTAGGGGTGAAAGTGTACCTACTAAAATAATTCGATTGCATTAAAAATGCCAAAAATATATAACAAAAGTTACTTATGAAAAGAAATCAAAATTATTAAATTTGGGACTTGTCTAATTAACTACCGTAAGAATAAATGAGATTGTAATTGAAACTTTGAAATAACTTCATGAAAATTTCAACACGGCTGATTTGGATCGTGTTTGAGGAGATAATCCTCATTCCTTGATATACAGGGTGTTCCTAAATAAGTGTCGCAACGGAAAACTGTATATTCATCTTGAAAAAAGAAACATTTTTCTCCTCTTCCATTTTTCTCTCCGGGCTTTTGTTTTCGAGATACAGGGTGTCAAAACTTTAATTTTTTTTAGTTTTTCGCCAATATCTTAGGAATGGTTTGAACTACACGACTGAGCTTTTGTACACACATTACCACTATTAATAGCTACTTTTCCGCACCCTTCTCGAATTCATTGGACGTGTCAGTGGTGGAGATTTTAAGGTATCGTAAGGGTTTTTCCCCCCCTAAATTTTACGCCACTGGAAAAATTGACTTTTGACAGCAAATTCTAAAGCGCCAATGAATTTTATACAATAAGAGTTCTCTTGGTTCATTGCTCTAAAGTCAACCGTTTTCAAGAAAAATGACTTTTTATGAACAAAAGCAAACGTTTTGCTAACGTTTCGAAAATTTTTTGCATTTTGCATTTTGCATTTTGAACATTTTGCAAGTGCAAGTAACTGAACAGAACATCCGGAGAACGAAATGCATCGTTTATGAAATCCGTGTCAATACTATCGAAAAGTTGACCGATAGAGGTGAAACCTCAGCGGCAGAAAGAAACATGATTAGAAGATGTAATGCGTGCATTCTAGCCAACGGACGTAATTTTGAACAGTTTCTGTAAATTTTACTCGCCAAATTGATAAAAAAAAGTTAAAATTCTATCTGTTGTTAAATTTCGTTAAAATTGTTAATTATTACTACTTATTTTTTGAATTACAAATGATTTTCGAAACGTTAGCAAAATGTTTGATAAAGTCATTTTTCTTGAAAACGGTTGACTTTAGAGTAATGAACCAAGAGAACTCTTATTGTGTAAAATTCATTGGGGCTTTAGAATTTGCTGTCAAAAGTCAATTTTTCCAGTGGCGTAAAATTTAGGGGTGGGGGAAACCCTTACGATACCTTAAAATCTCCACCACTGGCACGTCCAATGAATTCGAGAAGGGTGCGAAAAAGTAGCTATTAATTAGTGGTAATGTGTGTACGAAAGCTCAGTCCTATAGTTCAAACGATTCCTAAGATATTGGCGAAAAACTAAAAAAAAATTAAAGTTTTGACACCGTGTATCTCGAAAACGAAAGCCCGGAGAGAAAAATGGAAGAGGAAAATAATGTTTCGTTTTTCAAGAGGAATTTACAGTTTTCTGTTGCGACACTTTAGGAACGCCCTGTAGAAAAATAAATAGATTTTATAGTATATAGCATATAAATTCATTACAGGAATATATTTTTAAGCATTTTAAGTTGTCTAAATGAATTTAAATTGATTTATATATGTTTGTCGGATATTTAATCGTATTTCATCATATATGTCGATTTATATATATATATATATCAATTTTTTTAAATACTTTTGACAAATTTGTACACATACCTATGGCCATAGCCCTCGGTCAATGGAGTACATCTTTATTCTTTCCTTTTAGTATTATTTTTGTACAGAACTTCGCCCGAGAAAACGTATCATTGTACGGAATTATCCGAGTGATTTTAGAAAACCGTTACGGTTTATTATTACAAGTACCAGTCATTAGTCTGGTAATTTTTCGTGTTTTTTTAAAGTTACTTCGTACAATTATTATATTGTTTTATTTAAATGTGAAGAGTACATTTTATAGATTATTGTTATATGCGTCTCTATTATTCCTTTTTCTTCGAGGTTACTGCATCTCCGACATTATTATGTGATATTTATTGCTTTCAAATGAAGCTTCTGTTGAACGGAACCAGCCAAAATACCAACCATTGAAAAACAGATAAAGTTTAAAGCGTACTGGCACCTTATCGGTTTTATCGTTGTTTATTCTTAAACTCAGTATATTATTAAAGAGATAAAATAGACTTATTTCCAGTACCTATAGTCCATTTATTGTTTGTCCGTGAAATCGGCACCGTTGCGAAAAATATACACGCTACGGAATCAGTTGTGATAATTGGTTTGTATCCCTATCAGTGAATGTACAGTGTGAATCATATAATAAACTGTTAACAATTAATACATATTTGAAGTGATAAATGTGTCATCAGTGTCTTATTTATGCAGTTACTGATTTCATGTGGTCACCTAAACAGTATGCGTACACCAGCGTAGAAGATAGATAAAAAGACCTATTTAAATTGTCGAGTTGCCACATAAGAAGGTAGGGTCGAAATTCTTGGTATGTCAAGGTAAATTCAAAGATGGTAATTTGAGGAATTAAATAGTTATGCTTAACAAATTACACATATCGAATTAGCAAGTTAACTTCTTATAAATAATGTAAACGAAAGCATTGTCTTGGATTAATCAAGTTAAAAAACATTCATTTATTATGAAACATACTACCTATGTACAATTTTTTAATTTAATTTTTAGTTATTATTGGGTTTAAAATGTATTTGAAATATATTGTTTATCAGCGTATTAGTAATTTACTATTTTTTTTAATTGGATCCTATTTTCAACATCTTACTACGAAACAGTTGTTTGTCTAGTCATATTGGCATTTATCTTGCTGATATCGATACAAGTAATGTAATGTGAATGTATATATTTTTATATTAAAATTTTTAATTGAGCAATATCGGAAAATCTGTACAACAAAGACCGACTTATATGTATGTATATGTTCCAATGCTGCCAAGTTTACAACATTTTATATTGTTGTTTAATGGAAAATGCACTGAGAAAAGTGGATATATTTGCAATTCACGTGTGATAAGAAATAAATGCTGCCCTCCCCTTTACATTATCATTAACTGTAATTGTCTTTTCGTTGTCAAAACTAATCTTGAAGTGGTTCAAGGTCAAATATGACGGTTTATCTAATTCTAAATTATGTAAATAGTCGTCAATACAATACAATATTTATTTTATTAATAGTCTTTAAAGAGTTTAGCCAACAATAAAAACGGATACTTGATTGTCAGTTATTTTAACAAATAAATTAATAAAGATTTGAAGAGTAGAATAAAAACATTGATTTATGCTTATTTACAGTAATGGTTTTAGCCCTTAGAAGAAAACTCTTTAAACAGATATCTAGACTAAATATCTAACTCGATACTGTATATTATTCATACAATTAATATTGTTTGTGAGGATTTATTTGCGAAAATGAAATCCACTGTCCACTATATAATTCTCTTTAGGGAGTTTTGTGTACATTGCCATTTATGTAAGTTTGTATGTCTAACAGTCACGATGACATGACGGGAATTATTAAAAGATCGCTATTTTAAAAGTAGTATTTTAATAGAAATGCAGTTTTTTTTATTTAATTGTGGTTTTGGCTGCAGCATTCGAGATAATGTTTATAGGAATTTTTTTTGTTAATTTGCAAGGTAAAATCCTCCTCCATTAAAGTTTGGTTAAATATTTTAGTTAACACCCTATATATGTATAGAAAGTTAAATATATCGTATCATATGTAAGTACCTATTTGAAAGTATTCAAAATTTGCCGGAGCATTTTATTTCACATTTTTGCTTTCAACTGTTCATAGGAGTAATAGATTAGTTCAATGTGAAAATGGTTTGTTAACAAGTAAGTTTAGATTCATATTTCTACTCCTACCCACCAACGGTGATGTACTTTTGTATTCACAAATTGTCAATGTCATAACAATAAAATGTCATTTTACATTCACTTTATTGGGACGTTAATTTTAATAGTGAAGGAAACGTTTACGTTCAACAATGAAAGCTTATGTTTAAAAAGTAGGTAATCTCCGTGAACTGCTAGGCAATAATTAAATTTTAAAATTACCCACAGAGAAACCAACCATTATTAGTGTCATAATATCTATGTAATTAGTATTTAAAATTATACTGTCTGGTAATTTATTGATAATATCCTTTTAATTATATACAGGGTGTAACATAATATGGTTTTTAACTGATGATATTGCTGGAAACAATCTGGAGGCTACATGCCCAAGATACCATTTAATTATTTAATTATATCAGCAATATCCAGTAAACAGACTTTTTAAGTTTCACCAACTTCATGAGGACTAATAAGTCCAAAACGAGTATATGAGTTCAGCTCAATAATGCTCCTAGCTATTTACTGTATGTATTTATATTATTGGTATAATTCAATGTTGTTTGGTGTATGTAGGGCCCGGAGTAGTGGTTCCTTGTCCATAATTAAAAATTGGTTTGTCCAATAGGTTGAACTTTCATAGTACCTGCAAAATTGCAGGTTGCTTTCTGCTAGTGTGACCGCACATATATATTGGACTTTTCAGAACTTTTTTAACAATTTGTGTTTAAAAGGTTTGTATCTTTGTTTGTAGTTAAGACTTTAATAAAATTACCTAGGCATTTACTTGGCCAGTGAATTAGAAAAAAAAAGTTTTAAAATGTCTTCATATTTAGCACCTTGTTAGTAATATTATTTTGATTTCAGCACAACTCAAGTAAAAGGAAAGATCCTAATTTGAAGGCATACTAGGCAATCAGAATAAGACCATTGCACCATGCCTCTTCCGAAACGGGTTATAGAACCCGTGTACGTCACCAGAGGCACTCTACCCGAAGATTATCCATTGCCATCTGAGCTTGAGGGGGTTACTAATGGAACTTTGGCGAATACTGTGAGGCAATTGTCCTCTTTGTCTAGGTAAGTTTTTCCATAACTATTTTAACTAACGAATCTTTATAATGTGTATATTATATTATTTTTAATATATATGTTATGGACCAGGTGATTAATGCGGGCCTTATTAATAATGTGCGAGCATTATGAATAATGTCTAGCTCTATCAGGCTAAGTGATTAATTACTATCTAAACTTCATTATTTATCACATTGCACGGTCATTATTATATTGCTACGTGACAATTGGGCAATTTGATAATAGGGAGGGAACAAATTATATAATTATTGTTTTCAATTTTATGTTCTATTTTACTTATATTTTCATTTGACTTTTATTAAGTTTAAAGTGTTGAAAAGTATTAGATGCTAATTATGCCAAATAATGAGTCTGATTGCTTAAACTTTAGTTTATTTTTTGTTTTATAATAATATGTCAAAACTTCTATAAATCAAAGATATGTTATGAAATGTTTCTTTTAAATTTTATGTTTTGTGTTACTTATGTTTTTTTATATGACTTTCCTTAAGTTTTAAATGCAGAAACTAGTGGATTCTTAATGCAGAAGTCCTTGCTAATTAATCCAAATAATGAGTGATTATTTAAATTGTTTATAATTTAGTTTATATTAAGTTAAATGACAATAATAATAAAAAAAATAGTCATTAAATATGTTTGTATTACTCTGCCCAAAAGGTGATGGACAATAATGCCCGTTCAATTTGATTATTTGAATGCACACTCATATTGGGCATTTTACAATATGTATAATGCCCGATTTATCACTTGGTCCATAACATATATATCAACGAAAAAGACAACTGAAATGCGGAGATGAAATTAACTAACAATTTTTATTTTGTAGATTTATATTTTTTGTTTTCAACAATATAACATTTTATGTGTGGATGTGTTCATTGTTATTTGTAGAATAAATCTGTAATATTCTTTTGCTTCATTATGTTGTGATTCAGAATGTAGACATTTTTTTTCAATTGCTACATGTAATAATATCACTGTGTGCTGCGTTATTTTTTTTTATTGAAATTCCTATTTGAATTATTGAGGAATTTGGTTGAGATTATACTGCTGTATTGAGATTAATTTTATTACTCAAATGAAATAAAATATACCAGAATTTGTTTGGGTCTAAAGAATTATTAAGAAAGAAGTATTAAAGATTAAAGGCATACAGTGTAACCCAATATTCCATGACTTGGAACTGTTATATGTTCATGGCATCAAAATAAGGCAATTTTTCAAACATATGTCTTTATAGAGTTGCTTAGTTTGGTCTTTAGTATACGACAAACTACTATGTTAAAAAGTAATATCTATACACAAGTACTGACAAGGAGTGATACATGCTAGAGTACTTACACTGCGGAGCAGTGTTTACAGCAATATAAATACCAGCCACAAGATTTAATCTCGAGTTTCAGAGTTTCTTCTAAAAAAGGGAGTTATTTGTTCAGGAATTGAGATCTATTTACCGTGGAAGTCTACAAGCCAAATTAAGGAATCTCTGTGGGAAGAAAACCTACTTTATACCAAGAAAACTGGAAAAATTTTGGATAAAGAAAGATAAATAGTTATCATTCTTAAGCTATGTCATGATGAGATGATTATAGCTGGATTTTTGAAGGTGAAACATAATGCCCAAACCAACACAACACGAAGAATCCTACATTGAAACAGTATCTTACTTATTGGAGAAAAGATCAGATACACCATTAAACAACTAGAGGAAAATGAAGAGAATCTTTTGGAAGTACATTTCCAGCTTACTAGCAAATTAGACAGAAGCGTCTTGGATTAGAGGACAGATTGACCACTAAGAAAGCATTGTATAGACTGTCAAAAATAAACAGAGAAGGAAAGTTCAAAACTTTACCGATGGAAAAACATTCTAAACAGGCAAGTCTCGAGGAGTCTTGGATCTTCATGTACCTTCTGCAGAATGATGTGGACAAATTCGCTAAGTGTCTAAATTTTGCCGTATCACTCAGGACCATTACAGAAAAAGAAATTATGAGCACCCTGAAGACTAATGTGTCAACGTATATCTTAGAAAATGACAAAAGAAATAGGGCGAGACAGTACATGTGTTATGAATTACAGAACTTCTGGAAAAGAAGTTCGACTCGTCAAAAAACTGAGAAAGACTGAAGCAATCTCTATATTTCCTGGAGATAAAGAAAACAACTGTCATGTTACACATAATAAAGTATATCACAATATGGAGAAGATAGTACAGGACCCAATGTATAGTAATTTCAGAAACAGTCCAGTCAATTCAGGACAGTGGAGAAGGAGAAAATTTGAAGTTTTAACATTCCCAAGGAACTAGATAGGGATCTTATTCTAAATTATTCAAGAACACCCCAACTTCATTACTTTCCAAAGATCCACAAAACAAATCGTTTCAATCAATAGTAGTGAATGCAGTTGGATCAATCACTTACCCACTCATTCAACATCATGTTAAAAATACTAATTTTATCGTGAACCAAGTTGCACCATATGGTTATATTTCTCTACGGAATTTATTTTATGAACAAACTGATGGAGTAGCTATGGGTTCAATCTTATTAAAACGATACCTTTTTGTTCCTCGGTATCCTTGTCAAGAGGGAAACTGGATAGCAACATATCAGTGCGTCGAACACGTGCCATCAGCAAGTCAGAATATTTGGATAAGGAACTACCACATCAGCTATTCAGCTCTCAGAGGAAATGGATGTACTAATAAGAATATTGAACATGTCATCAAAACAGTAATTAAGAACAAAGAATTTGCTTAAATACAAGGATGTAATAACAAGATATGCGGCTACCTCTTAAGAAATCACAATATTAACGTCTACAACACTTTAAGAAAGGTAGTAGTAACATTTGGCAAGATTATCTGCAAGAACGATATACTCCAAGGACCTGGTGTATCTTGTTTACATGGGGTAAAGTACACATTGGACAAACACAGCAGCACTTTAAAATATCACTTGAAGAATAACAGTATACAAAAATCTTGCGGAGCACAGGGTAGATACAGAATATTTAATAGCTATACCAAAATTCTTGTGAAACAGAATAGATGTTGGCCAAGATCACAGATTTCAAACCGTGCTCTGAAACATCATAATCACACAGTAAATATAAATACCGGCCAGAGGACCCCAGTTTCTCAAAGTATCCTCTGAATCCTATTTTAGGTTTGTGTAATCCTTAAAAGAATTATTATTTCCTTAAACAAAGCTATGGTTGGAAAAAAAATTTAGACTACTACAATTACATCATATACTATAAAAAACGTATGTACTGCCTTAGAATTACAAAATGTCAGAAAAATTAAAGTGTCAAATTATATATTTTTTTAATAAGCAAAGCAATATTCATAATATTTAATTCATAATATATAGTATATTTTGCAATAATTAAACGTTAAAACTGTTTAAAAAATAGATATTTCAAGGAACCTTTGATTGCTATTAGAATTTTTTATCAGTTATAGCTTGAAATATATTTTTAGATTGTGTACTAATTTAATGTCTAAATAAATATTTATTTTATAACATCATAGAAAGATAAGGCTACTTATTATAACACTTATATGATTTCTTTAAAAATTTAATAGTATTTTTTCAATTTATTACTTTCCTGTAAAAAAAATTGTGTAAAAAGAAAGGAATTACAAAATATTTCATTTTGAATTACTGCGTTATTAGATAAAATAGTTTGTGCATTTTTTTTTATAAATGTAAGGACAGGTTCACAATTTTGTGATTCCGATATACATGAACAATTGATTGATAATTTGTGATATTCATATTGACGTTTCGTTGTGATTTGTAGATTAAGCGACTAGCCACGATTGACCATCATTGGTACTGCCAACGTAGCATCATAATAAGACAGCAGAATAATTACAAATCTAAATGTTAATAATTCTGCAGCTTCCATTAGGGACTTTATTTTTTAATATTATTTTGGGGATCAAAAACGGAAAACAAAAAAAGTGGTTGTTGACTATTCTATAGGTACTTTTTGTTTATAAAATATTTTATATAGTTCCACTTACGGGAACAAAATTTACATAAAAGGTATTCAGATTAGATCTGCAACTGTTAGATTTTGGTTTATCGTACAATTTCGATTATTTTTTTATATATACAGTGTCCTAATATTTTACATCTACAGAATCAAGTGTAGTATTTGAGACACATTCACAATATTGGTCCTCCTGAAGGAAAAAAAAATGCTATATTGATAGTGCTACTTCGCATCCTGCTATGGTTCTTTTTTTGATGGGCGATTTTTCGTGAAATTATATTAGGAATTTTTTTGTACAAAATCTGTCAAAGTAGCTTAGTTCAGTACCATTTAAAAATCCTCAGTTCTACAATTTTTATAATTTATAGCTCTCCATAATTTTTTAATGAAATTTTACTAAAAGATGACTTACATTCCATGTAACAGTGCAGGGCAAAATATATACATATTGCAAAAGTAATATCATATTTAAAATATGTTGAAACTATAATATTAAATTTACAAATATTATTTTTTTTATAAATATTTTTTTGTAAGTAAGCTTACCACGTTCTTTATTTTTAACACATGAATGTGGCTTATTACTATTTTGTCCCAATTGCTTCAAATTATAGAGCTGTTTTGTTATTTGAAGGTATATTATTATATAATAAAGATTATAAACTTCAACTTGTTCGATGTAAAAGTTTACTTATAGAAAGTATAATTTGTGCAAGTAAACAGAAAATCTTTTCATTCACTGGACTAAACAATCAACTAAACAGTTTTCTTGCTTTAGTGAAGTATAATAGAAGGTTTATACTAAAGGAGTAACTTGCTTTAGCTACTATATGGAACTTGGCCTTTTTCGTCATTTCAAGGCACACTAAGATTTTTAAAGGAAACAAAAATTTACACTAAAAATTTTAGAACTAAAAAAGTTTATAAAATAATGAAACTTAAGATACAGGTGTTGAATACATCCTCATATTTTCTATAAAAAAAGGTCATAGCAGGTTATGTAGTAGCATTACTTGGTTCTGTAGATGCATTTAGACACCCTGTATATGTACAGTAATGAGAGGGGAGTGGTGGATCAAATCTGAATACCTTGTATACAGAGTGTTGCATAATATATGCGCAGGACTTCAGGATGTGATAGCTTGTCCAAAAATTTGAAAAAAAGTTTGTATTAACTTACCCTCTAAAATGCACAATTTTCGAGATACAAGGTGTTGAAATTGTAAAAAAAATTTCGTTTTTTGCGAATATCTCCAGAACCGTTTATCATACAGAAAACAGCTTTTGTAAGCATTTACTACTCATAATAAGCTATGTTCTGTGTGAGAAAAAATTGTTTTCAAAGTCATAATTGGTGAAGATTTTGAAGGGGAAGTGGGTGTTTTTCTCCCCAACTTCTACGCCACTGGAAAAAGTACGGTTTTGAGATGCCCATTTGAACCCCCAATGTTTTCTATACAAAAAAAGTACTCTTGGACATAAGCTCTAAAGTTGACCGTTTTCGAGAAAAATCTACTTTTATGTTGAAAAACATGGTCAATTTTTTGAAATAAAATTTTTATTTTACTAAATGTATTATAATTTTTTTTATCAAGTAGGCTTTAAATTTTAAAACAAAAGCTACCTCCTGTCAAAATAACAATTAGTTCGTACCTGTGAAAAGTCAATTTGTATTACAAAAATAAAAATGAATTACACAAACGCTGAAATGTGTGAAATGCATTACCTTTACGGAAGGCGAGCGGTAATTCGGCAGAAGCAAGGCGGTTGTATCAAGAAAGACATCGTGATCGCCAAGTACCACATCATAACTTGTTTCAACGCATTCACCAACAACTATGGGAAAATGGAAGTTTTAAAAAGAATACTGCTGATAATGGGCGGGCTGTGGAAGTTGCAAATGCCCAAGTAGAAGAGGCTGTCCTCAACGAAATTGAAGAAAATCCGGTCACAAGTACCAGAAAAATTGCTCACAACTTAAACATACCTCATTTGACGGTTTGGAGAATTTTGAAAAGACAACTTTTGTATCCCTACCATATCCAAAGAGTACAAGCCTTATTGCCAAGAGATTTTCCGCCAAGATTGGCTTTTTGTAGATGGATGCAAGACAAAATAGCTCAAAATCCTCAGTTTGGAGCCGAAGTTATGTTTACCGATGAAGCATCTTTCTCGAGAGATGGTATTTTCAATTTTCGCAATAACCACATATGGGCTGAAGAAAATCCACATGAAATTGCAGAAGGCAATCATCAGCAACAATTTTCCGTGGATGTTTGGATTGGCATCGTCGGTGATCATTTGATAGGCCCACATTTTTTACCGAACAGATTAAACGGTGCAGATTATCGACAATTTCTAGAAGAAGTACTGCCGGAACTCCTGGAAGATGTACTTTATGCATGATGGAGCTCCGGCCCACTTTAGTTTGGTTGCTCGCCAATACTTGGACAACGAATACCAAGACCGTTGGATCGGTCGAGGAGGTCCCCACCCTTGGCCCCCGCGATCTCCCGAACTTAATAGTTTAGATTTTTTCTTTTGGGGCCATCTCAAAACAATAGTCTACGCTACTCCAGTTGAAAATGTTGATCAATTAAGAGAACGCATTGTTGCATCTTGCGACATAATTCGGAACACTCCGGAAATTTTCTTGCGTGTTAGACAGTTAATGCGTCGAAGAATTGCTGCGTGCATTGAAGCTAACGGAGGACATTTCCAACATTTAATTTAACTGTGTACGATTTGTTTTTTTTTAATATTGCAACTATGAAGTTAACGTTTGGTTTTGTTACTTGTTCTAACGATTAAATAAATTTTGTTTAATTAGTAAAAAAATTTTATTTCAAAAAATTGACCATGTTTTTCAACATAAAAGTAGATTTTTCTCGAAAACGGTCAACTTTAGAGCTTATGTCCAAGAGTACTTTTTTTGTATAGAAAACATTGGGGGTTCAAATGGGCATCTCAAAACCGTACTTTTTCCAGTGGCGTAGAAGTTAGGGAGAAAAACACCCACTTCCCTTTCAAAATCTTCACCAATTATGACTTTGAAAAAATTTTTTTCTCGCACAGAACATAGCTTATTATGAGTAGTAAATGCTTACAAAAGCTTTTTTCTGTACGATAAACGGTTCCGGAGATATTCGCAAAAAACGAAATTTTTTTTACAATTTCAATATCATATAATTTCAGTATATAATATATCATATAATTTCAGTATCTCGAAAATTGTGCATTTTAGAGGGTAAGTTAATAAAAACTTTTTTTCAAATTTTTGGACGAGCTATCACATCCTGAAGTCCTGCGCATATATTATGAAACACCCTGTATATTACATGTAAGTTTTGACAAAATTTCATTAACGATGGAAGGGCAATATGTTTGTTGTCAATCTTCATTTTGAAAGATTGTAAAAGATTTCGCTATTTGTGTATAAATCTGTATTTTTAAATAAAAAATTAGATAAACAATTATCAAGTATTAACAGTTGTTAATGTAGAAAAACAGGTTTTACTTCCTGAAATTCTTAACATTTTTGTTTTGCTTCCAGACATGCAGAGGATTTATTTGGAGAACTCGCGAGAGATGCTCAACAGCTGTACGATCGATCAAACTCTCTACAAGCAAGGATAGATAGGCTGGCTATCAAAGTAACCCAATTAGACAGCAATGTAGAAGAGGTCTCACTACAAGATATTCACATGAGGAAAGCCTTTAAGAGTGCGGTAGTCTTTGACCAACAGGTATGTACATTTTTTTATTGTAAAATTGAAAATTTAAATATTTTTCGTATTTGATATTAATATACATTTTATATACAGGGTGTATCTAAATAACACCGAAAAAATTCAAGGGGCGATTCTCCGATGAAAATTAATAGGGGTCTTTGGTATAAAATTTTTTGAAAAAATCCTCCCCTGAAAAGTTACGCCCCTCCTAAAATTACAAAAAAAAATTGTTTTTCTTTTTTATCTTCCACGTACATCAAGCTAAAGAAACCAAACTTGGTGAACATTATCTGTCAATAAAACTACACTTTTTGAAATTTTTTCAACCCTGAACTATTTTTGTAAGGGGTTGAAATAATCAACCCCTATGACATTTTTTCTTATAATTTTTTTTTC